TGCCCACCTGGAGCTGCCATCACTGTGACCCTCACATCAGAAAACGTGCTTCTCAGGCGACATCTTTTCCATCGGTCGGAATATGCTGCCTGTTGGAGTACCACTAAAAACTTCAATTCATGTTATTCTGTTTGCACAACTGGAGTATTTATGCCAAGAACATTACAAAACACTCTCCCTCTTGCCATAATCTCAGAGTTGCCCTGAGCCACATAAAGGCAGTTGCCACCACCCAGGAATGTCAGTGATGGATTTCGACATTTTTACCACTCATGTTGAGTGATCTGAGTCATTATGCTCTCAGAAATGAAGAAAGACTGAACCATCCACGTGCCCATATTATCTCTTCCTAATTCCGTTTTCTTTTCTGGTTCATCTTCCAACTAAAATGTTTGGAAGTTTCTATGGAAAATACTCCTGAAAATTAGCATATGTGGTCAGATTTCAACTATGAAAAACATACATTAAAAAAACCTATAAGCGGGGCACCTGGGTGGCTCAGTCGGTTAAGCGTCCGGCTTCAACTCAGGTCATGATCTCACGGTTTGTGGGTTCGAGCCCCGCATCAGGCTCCATGCTGACAACTAGCTCAGAGCCTGGAGCCTGCTTCAGATTCTGTGTCTCCCTCTCTCTCTGACCCTCCCCTGCTCGTGCTGTCTCTCTCTCTCTCTCTCTCTCTCTCTCTCTCTCTCTCTCAAAAAACAAAACAAAAAACAAAAACCTATAAGCAACATGCTTTATCCTATAATTCAAAGGAGATATATGGCCTTATTAGTATTCCTTTCTGGCTGGTGAGGCTCAGAATTGTGGAAAAAATAGACACAATTTTCTAAATTCCCCTTGATCATTATGATGTAAAAAACTAAAACTTAGGGGCGCCTGGGTGGCTCAGTCGGTTAAGCATCCTACTTCGGCTCAGGTCATGATCTCACGGTTTGTGGGTTCGAGCCCCGCATCAGGCTCCATGCTGACAACTAGCTCAGAGCCTAGAGCCTGCTTCACATTCTGTGTCTCCTTCTCTCTCTGACCCTGTCCTGCTCACATGGTCTCTCTTTCTCTCTCTCAGAAATAAATAAAACATTAAAAAAAAAAAAACCTAAAACTTAGAAGGAAGTACAGTGAAGTGTTCATTGTGCTTTTCTCCTTGTGGCATGACTCGTTAAGATTTCTTTTCTACTTTTAACTTTTTCTATATTCTGTGTTTTCCTATAATAAAAATATGAAATGTTATTGAAATACATAATACTTTATTTTAAACACTTTGTAGAAACATGGCTTCCCATCACCAACAGAATAAACTAAACGCCTTGGCTGGAGACTAATGGGTTTCCACGAATGGGCTCCAACCTGCCTGCCCACAACTTCATTTTTCACTTTTGGTTACTACCCTTCACACACTTTTTATTTCAGTAAAAAATTAATTCTGTCATTTTCCAAGCAGACACCCAACTTTCTTGACTCTGTGTAGTTGTTTATTCTGTTCCTGAACTTCCCTCCATGTCTGCTCCTTTGTGGCTTTCTCTCAGTGGGGCTTTCCTGGAGGAAGCATCTTCCCTTCTGCATAATTCCCACACACCTTCTGTCTTTCTTCCGTGCAGAGTTAATTATGCAGGAATCACCTCAGCTGGATGGCACCCTTCCTGTCTTCCTTTCTTCATTCCTTCATTTCATCCCCTCTTCTTTCCTGTTTTTAAAGATTATTTGGTCATGTTTTCTCTGAATTTCTCTTTTGCTTATTATTTCTAAATGCACACTTGGGGGTTCTGAAACATCAAGACAGAGACTTGGACACGTGATGAATGAAAGCGGAGCTGAAGGAGAGATTTTATCAGCTGGCCGTAGAAAGCCTCATGTATCACGCTGTCTGATTAGTCATGGAGAAGTGCGATGAGTAGGAAGACAAATGGGAAAAGCTATCAGATGGAATGAGGCTTGCACAGACTGCCAGCTTTTGAGCCCAAGTTTGGATCAGATCAAATTTAAGTTTCCTGCCAGGCCCCCTATCCCTGCGGGCTACGTTCCTGCCACCTGCCATCACCTGGGCCCTGTTTGTATTCAGTCATATGATACATGGTCATCCTGTGCAATGACCGTTGTCACTGCTGGGCTGGAAAAGCCAACGTTTTTCTCTTTGTGTTCACAGATCCCCTCTGCATTTGGTGTATTTATTCTCTGTCTCTTCCTGCTTTCTTCCACCCAGTTGCCCTGCAAATGTTGCCCTGTAGGATAGGTATATCTTCTTCATTTGTGCATTGTCTTTTTTTTTTTTTATGTTTTATTTATTTCTAGGAGAGAGAGACAGCGTGAGCAGGGGAGGGTCAGAGAGAGAGGGAGTCACAGACCGAAAGAGGCTCCAGGCTCTGAGCTGGCAGTCAGCACAGAGCCCGACGCGGGGCTCGAACCCACGAACCGCGAGATCATGACCTAAGCGAAAGTCGGACGCTTAACCGACTAAGCCACCCAGGCGCCCCTGTGCATTGTCTTTTAAAATTTAATCTACAAAAGGCAAATTGACTCTCATGCATTATCAGAAAACCCCTTGATGCTGCAATCTTTGAGTATTTTACAGACTTAGGAATGAGGGGTATGAATACATAAGCCTTCAATTTATTCTTTATCAGAGTGATCTAAGATGATTGCTTAAATCTTTTTCAAAGAAAATGAAGTGAAAGAATCCAGTTAATAGAGTATTTGGTAAACATTACATGTAAATTCCAGGGATTTAGAAACATCTGCATGATTTGTGAGATTTTTTTTTTTTACTTTTCATTCACCTCTTTGCTCTTTCCTGTGAGCCTTTCATTTATAATTAATATATTAATGAATTCTTTAAGCATTTCTGGGGTACCTGCTTTATGCCAGGCACTATGCTCACCACTAGGAGTTCGGAATGAATGAGAAGTCACGGCAATGGAGGGGAGGCAGACAGGTAAATCACGACACTACAGCTGAGCAGGAAAGATGTGCAAGAGAGGCAGGTGCAAGGTACCACTAAGAAACCAAAAACGAACGCTTCCAGAGGCTCAAGACTTCCCGAGATATCGCTAACGCTGTTTTATAATCAGACAAACTCTGCACGAGCAGCCTTTTGCGTTTTATTCAGGAACAACATCACAGCCCATTGGGCCAATCCTGTTTGAATATCTGGGAAAATAAATCTGATATGTGTTAAGTTTCCCCATAACCTTGAAATATGTTTCCGAGTTATGACACCAGAGAAAATCTAGGAAGGAAAACCCTTAATCCAAAAGGAATTGAGGGCTGTTCCTGCCACTGATCTTTGTGTCCCCCCCAACCCGACCACCTCCTCTGCCCACCACCCTCTTCCCAACCCCAACCCCCTCAGCTCTGCTGATGTCAGTGGGGCCCAGTGTTTCCCATGATTTCAGTCAAGACGAGACCCGAATTCTCCCCTGTAAAGGGATGAGGTGTCTTTGGATAGAATCGAGTGAGTCTGAGTGCAGATGCTCACACGGTGCACAGACCCTGCTCGCTGGCCATCAAGACACCTGTCTGCCTCCGGTTCCGGAGGTCTTACCATGTCTCTTATGCATGTTCCTTGAGTTGTCTCTGGTGTTTATTCAGAAACATGCAAAAAATAGAGCAAACAAGGAAAATGTAAAGAGTTGCACCAGCCGGAGGAATACTTGTACTCACTGAGTGTTGACACGGACAGCACGTGGGTCATTCCAGGGGCTCTCACTCGCGGGCTGTCTGTTCTGCAGCAAGCGGAGAGGCAAGCGGATGAAGAAAAAGCAAAGCATGGTAACAAAATGTGCACTTAGCCAACATTTAATAGGTGAATTTTACTCTCTATGATTTGCACTTCTTTTTCTGTCTTATTTTCCTAATGGTAAGGGAGGCAGGTGGGTCTGGGAGAGGTGGCCAGAGGGTTGTAAGACATTCAACCAGATCTCCCCCAGGGATATCTCTGGTCTTGCAGACAAGCACCTGTTACGCAGCTCACGTGACCAGCAGTCCACTGGACACAGAAATGGAGTGAGAGGGGGGTGGGGGAGGGGAAGGAGAGAAAGAGAGGAAGAGGGAAGGGAAAACAGGTGAGCACCCCAGGGAGACAATTCAGAGTGGCTTTTTCTTAAGTTCAAAGTATATATGAATTTGAATGGAAGGTGGAGGGAAAGGGACTGAAAGAGAGTAAGAAATGTGCAGGAGAAACTGACAGGGAATTTCAGTGCCTGCGCACAGTAATTTATTCGATGCTGCCACTGCGTTTACAGAGACGCTGTTCCAGGAAGGTCACCTGCCCATGAACTGGGCACAGACCAGGACGGACCAGAAGAGAATGATACTCTCCCTTCTTCACAATCTTTGTTCTCTTCTCCCCTTGAGCTCTCTCTCCTCAAAAACTAACAAATCCAACAAGATACCAACAGCATGTATTTCAAATCAAAGACTCGAAAAATGAACTCTCCCTCCCAAGTTTATTCTAGATCTTGTTTCTTCCATTTTGACAGAAACTAATAAGACTCTAGCTACATATGCACAGCTTTTCATTTACTTACATCTCATTACATTTGATTTGAAGTATGTTACTCTTAAAATAAAACCGCATTTAAAAGTCCTAACCAATTCTGACTTTTTTACCAAGTCAGCCTATTTCTCCTCTCAAACATCACAAACAGAAATTGTCTAGTAAATTCCAGTCACTTTTTCTTTCCAGAATAAAAAAAAAAAAAAGTTCCAGTTTTCTTCTTACTAAGACAGGAAGCATTTCCTGGAGCTTAATCACTGTTTTGATTTGCAAAATTGGAAAGGTTGAGAGAAATTAGTAAAGTAGGTTGTATCATCCTACTTTGGATTCAGAATTTTTGGCCATGGTCCTGCTGCCCTTCGGATGAAAGCAGTTATGAGTCAAGCTGTGGGTGACCTAAACCAATACTGTCGCCCTATAAAAATCAGGGCTCCGACGGCGGACCCAGGAGAAGGAAGGCAGAGAGCAAAGCACCAAGACGACATAGAGCCAAGAAAATCCCATGGAAATGCAGACTCTTCTGGCTCTGCTGCTGCTCTGCGTGGCCGCGTGCTCAGCCTACCCGGTGGACACAGCCGCAGAGGACAGAGACAGCAGCATGGATCTCCTGCAGGTAACTGATGGACGCATCTGTCCCCCACATGCATGGCAGAGTCAGGTGGGAACACCACCCCTGCTTTCCATTCATAAACGCATGGGATGCTTCGGGCTCACTGTGCAGAAGAAGTTCAGGGACAGAACTAGGAAGTGTGGGATGTGGAGGGGGTCTCCCCGTCTGACTGTGCAGTCTCCTTTCATGCAGGAGCAAACACAAGCCAGAAACATTACGTGATTGCCCAAGATCCTGGCCGCCTTGGAGGGAGCAGCACTGGGGTTTGAGGTGCAGGAGTGAGAGAGGAGAGCGTAATGAAATGTATCTTGTGATGGAACTTCTTTAGGTGTTTGAATCAGGGGAAGTTTAGCTACATATTTATACGGCTCATGTCGTGTTCAGACCCAGAGATTTATCCAACTTTCTCTCATAAATCAGGTCCCCTGGAGAGGCACAAAGTGGCAAGCTGAAGGACTAGAGTAAACATAACTGAAACACAATTATGCCTGAAGAAGCCCTCTTGCTTTGTGTTTCTGCCTTAAGTTCACTAGATATTTATCTCAGCCTCCACTTCATTGTCATTGCTTGGGGAGTAGACTAAGCACAGACATTATTTAGTTACAGAGACAAGACAGAAGTAAGGAGGAATCTGTAATTGAAGACTGGAATGGAATATCACATTTATTTTGATTTTAGCGAACTGGGGAAATACTGAGACTAGATGAAGTGTGCAGCTGCAATTTAGTAGGAAAAGCTAAAAATCATAACTATACTTATATCCTAATAGCAATACCTAGAGAACTACTACAACCTTGCCAAGGATGTGAAACAGTTTGTGAGACGAAGGGACAGCGGTCCTGTCGTTAAAAAAATCCGAGAAATGCAGAAGTTCCTCGGGTTGGAGGTGACGGGGAAGCCGGACGCCGACACTCTGGCGATGATACGCAAGCCCAGGTGCGGCGTTCCTGACGTCGGCCAGTTCACCACCTTCCCTGGCACGCCGAAGTGGAGGAAAACTCACCTTACCTACAGGTGACGGGTCCCAAGGGTGCTCACACCACATTACGATTTTACAAATTGCTATCACAGCAGAAAGTAATATCTTCTTCAATTTTTCTCTTAAAGGATTGTGAATTATACACTGGATATGCCAAGAGAGGCTGTTGATTCTGCCATTGAGAAGGCTCTGAAAGTCTGGGCAGAGGTGACTCCACTGAATTTCTCCAAGATTTATGAAGGAGAGGCTGACATAATGATCTTTTTCGCAGTTAGAGGTAAAAACATAAATATGAAATGCATCCATTTACTTAGTGCTGTTGTGGGAGCTGGGGGTGAGAATGTTCCAAAGGTATTTTAATTACCTATCTTTCAAGTAAAAACATTTTCTCTGTTAGATCATGGAGACTTTAACCCTTTTGATGGACCTGGAAATATTTTGGGTCATGCCTATGCGCCGGGGCCTGGCATTAATGGAGACGCTCACTTTGATGATGATGAGCAGTGGACAGGGGACACGTCAGGTTAGTTGCATATCTCTCAGAATTATTTTGGTGGGTTATTTTGTTTCAGATTTAGAAAATTCTGATTAGTTAAAAATCTTCAAGTAGTAGGGTGTTCTGGATTTCCCAAATGGCTCAAGAACTAGCAGAATGTATTTTTGTTTTGATTATTACTGAAAAAGCTTTCACATGTCTAAAAAGTTTATTCTCTGTCTTGGTAAGCAAAATATAGGAACATCGTTAAAATACTTCTTTGATGACTATGGATCTAATATGATCTTAGGACCACCCTTAAGAGTATTTTCTCGTTATGTTGAATTGCAGGTATCCAAGGGGCAGCACATTGCCTGGACTCTGCACTAACATGGGCCCTTGATATTACTTATGTCCAAACTAGGGGAAATTTCTTCTTTACTCTTCAAAATGGAGATGAGAGTTAAATTCCAGAAACTGAGGTCCCTCCTTAGGTTTTTCTGGTAAATCAGCATTTTACTCTCTCTAGGCTAAGAGGAGTTTTTATGGACTTGTTCTAAACAAAAACTAGTCCCCAAATATCATGTCCACATTTTTTAGGAGGAAGACTGTTTCTCAGCTCATAACTGTATACTTGGAGGACTGGCTTCCAAAGTTTTCAAACAATTGGTTAAAACAAAGAATATTGACTTCTGAGACTTACTGGGATTTATAATCAAAATGCAAACAGAATATCTATGGAGAGTCCAAATGTGACTGTAGTGCGGGATAACTTTCTTTGGTTTGATTGAATTAACAACTTCTACCTGAAAAGTCTCAAACAAGGACCTCAGTAGGATCAAAAGTCAACTTTGCATGTCAAACATAATTACCCGATAACTTCCAGTTTTGGCATCCTGGCTTTTTTTTTAATAACATGAAGAAAAAAATATGAACACAGCTACTGTTTGTGTGGTCAAAGTCTCTTTTGTGACAAACGTGAGGCATGATTAGGCATGCCATGTTTTAGACCAATCTTGCAAGCCCTATGACAATTATCATTGCTAATGTTCCCAGACCCAATATGTGCTTAATAATGATCTTGAGGTTGAAAAATTATGTGGGCAATGGAAGATAACAATAACAAGAGTATGATTGTTTAGGGTTTCAGAAGCGAGATGAATAAATTGTGATTCATTTCACTGAGACTATAGCTGGCAGACATTAATACGTTGTAACAGTGTTTAGCTTTTCATTGACAAATGAAGAGAAATATTTATGAATGTGCTAAACAAGTGGGTTGGTTCCATTCCAGAGTACAAGAAAGACAACCTTGTTTTCATGAAGTAAATAGACTTCTGAGGTGGGAGAGGGGACTCAGTGGACATGCTAGATATTTTGTCTCAAAGATTGATTTGAAGAATGAGCCTTGAAAAATGCTTGGCTTTCCATTAAGTATGTTATTAGTCAATCGATGAATTAACCAAAAAAAACAAGGCAAAGAAAGCCCTGTGCTTCCAGGAACTAAATCAGTATAATACAGCTGACCTGTGTGGTGTACATGTACTTAAGGAATAAGGGACTATTATTTATGATTTCTTACATAGGAACCAATTTATTCCTCGTTGCTGCTCATGAACTTGGCCATTCCCTGGGTCTCTTTCACTCGAATGACCCCACAGCTTTGATGTTCCCCGTCTACAATGCACTCACAGACCTGACCCGCTTCCGCCTTTCCCAAGATGATGTGAACGGCATCCAGTCCCTGTATGGTGAGTGATGCTGGAAAAATTAGGCACCAGAGCTTTGCAGTAATGGTCTTCAGGAAAGCTTTAAAAATGCTGCATAAAGCATTTGCAATCAGCTCAACGCACTCTGAGAGTGTTTGGAAAGCACTGAAATTGACTGAAGCACCCCATTCTCCTTATGTTTGACCCCCGCATCTGTTTCCTTTAGGCTCTCCCCCTGTGCACCCTGATGGCCCCGCGGTGCCCACGGAATCTGCGCCTCCAGGACCTGGGACACCAGCCGTGTGCGACCCTGCTTTGTCCTTCGACGCCATCAGCTCTCTGAGAGGAGAAATCCTGTTCTTTAAAGACAGGTCAGACCAGAAGATTCTATTTCCCTATCTATTCTTTTGATGTACATTCTTGTCCTCTCTTTGTTTTTCCTGTAAGTGATGCTTGCTTTTCAAAAGTCCAACTTCAGAATTAGAACTTTGTCTTTACCTCCTCTAAAAATGTCATCAGGAGAGCGTTACATTTTGTCAATAACTTCCTCTCCACTGGATAAACATCCACTCGACAGAACATTCAACCTGCACAAATAGGAAGACAGTAGAAAGCAAGTCTCACTCACCACACTAACTCTGGGTTCCCTAGGTGTCCCCGTACTCATCCACCATCGAGGACCCCTGTATATCTTTCCAAAAAGGCTTCCATTCATATAGCAAAAAATACTTACACACACACACACACACACACACACACACACACACACACACCCAGTCTGTCTTTTCGAAAATGTAAGCCATGGGTAGCTCAGTCAATTAGGGGTGTGACTTCAGCTCAGGTCATGACTTCAGGGCCCACAGGGCTGAGGCTTGCATCAGGCTCTGTGCTGACAGCTCAGAGCCTGGAGCCTGCTTCAGATTCTGTGTCTCCCTCTCTCTCTGCCCCTCCCCTGCTCACACTCTGTCTCTCTCTCAAAAATAATTAAACATGAAAAAAATAATAAAAAGAAAAGAAAATGTAAACCATGTTGTAGCTCACACACTGATGTGCATGAATTGAGGTATTTAGAGGTTATACTTGGCTAATTAACTGCACCGTAGGATCACTTTTCTTTGGCAGGAGGGCTGGTGATCACTTCCCAAGAAAAAGAAAACATATTTTCCCATTGGCAATAGATCTAATGTCTACCTGTCATCCAGCCAGAGGATGAGGGAATGGAGGGAAGATGAGTGAGGAAGGTCAATGAGAAAAATATGCTCAAGGTGAAGGTCTGTTTTTCAATTTTCATTTCTTTTTATTCATATTTCAGACATTTTTGGCGCAAATCCCTCAGGACACCTGAACCTGGATTTTATTTGATCTCTTCTTTTTGGCCATCTCTACCTTCAGGCTTAGATGCTGCATATGAAGAGACTAGCAAAGATATTGTTTTCATTTTCAAAGGTAATTATTATATAATAATTTCTCTAACTTGTTGAAATAAACCCTTTCACAGGAAAATTGAATAGTACTTTAATTTTCTCTACTATCCCACATTGTATCTACATTGTTACTCTAAGGCAATAAAGCAATAACTGGAACTGATATTATTTTATTTATATTTTACAAATAGTAAAAATGAACAGCAATATAAATTGCTCAGAGTTGTTAATTCCCTTCTTGGATTTTGTGTTCATTCATTCCATCCACACTTTTTTGTTAAATGCCCACTTTCAGCTGGGGATTAACTTTTTACTATGAAAATCAAAGACACTAACAAGTATTTCTAAAACTCAAAGGCTTAACTTTTATAAATGAAATGAATTTATAAATAATTAAATAATTCAATGAATTATTTTTCTTAACAGGAAATCAGTTCTGGGCCGTCAAAGGAAACGAGGTACAAGCAGGTTATCCAAAAGACATCCGCACTCTGGGTTTTCCTTCAAGTGTAAAGAAAATAGATGCCGCTGTTTCTGATAAGGAAAAGAAGAAAACGTACTTCTTTGTAGAGGACAGTTACTGGCGGTAAGACGCGGCTGGAATGACTCTGTACAGAGCCTGATTAGGGACATTACATTCTTTTCCTGAGGAACCCCCACCTCACTGTCAGCCTGGCTTCCGGCTCTTTGAGGAGGATGGACACACGCTTACTTTCAAATGCAGCAGTGCCTGGCAATAGACATTTCTTAAGCACACCTGCCTTGAGCACATGTGCAATAGGCTGGCCCTTCCCTGTGGTATTGCCCCACCTGCCTGGACAGCCTCTTCTCTCCTCTACCCCTCCCCCCACTCCATTCACCCTAGAGTCCTGGCTCAAGTCCCATCACCCCCATGGAGCTTCCCTGCTGGACCCCAAACCCAGATGGGTTTTTATTTTTTGAAAGAAGCCTCAAGAGTCCAGGCCACAATTTAGCATTCCTTTCCTGTGGACTCATTGCCTCCCTGGGTGTTTGTCTCATCTTCCCAAATTTACTCTATGATTATTAAGGGCTTCCCTTAAGCTCATCCACTCATTAGTGCTGCCTTTTTAAGAGGATGATGAGCAATAGCCGTACGGTTTTATGGATAGAACCCAGGACTCACAGAGAGGCTGATTCCTGGGCTGTCTGCCCACATGACTGGGCACACCAACCACGGTTCAGCCAATGAGTCCAAAACACATTCACCGTGCTTTCCTTCTTGACACTATCCCTTTTCCTAGGAGGCTGCCTTGGGAAATCCAGACGTGGAGGGTGGGGAAGACGTATAGGAGCCAAGTATGGTAGAGAATTTGAAATTTATATTTGTGATTGAAAGATGATTAAGGTTCTTTCTGTCCAGGCTTAAGAAATATGGTAACAAACAGCATCTGCCAGATCAGGATGTAGCTTCTGCTCCCGGTGCAGATACAGCTCTAGAAACGAAGTTTGCAGGACCATTAAAGTCACATATTTCTATAGTGCTAACCATGTTTGACATTTATTTGCAGTACTTGGAAAGTTTACTAGAATTCCACATGAAACCTAACATGACTTAAGATTTTTGGTAACACACTCTGTTGCAATGCTGAGCTCTGTTTCTTTGACTGGATGCAGATTTGATGAGAAGAGACAGTCCATGGAGCCAGACTTTCCCAAGAAAATAGCAGAAGACTTTCCAGGAGTCGACTCGAAGGTTGATGCTGCTTTTGAAGCATTTGGTAAGAGGATAAGTGTTCTGTTGGCAATGGGGCACTTGGTGTCAAAGGGAAGAGGACAACTGGGTTAATTCGTAATGGTGGGTTTCCTTTAACCGATTCCTCCCTCCAGCCCCCAGATTTCAACTTACCAATTCTGTACCAATTCTATGACCACTTCATATAATACGTTGATTTGAATCATAACAATAAGCAATACAAATCTCTATATTTTGTCATGTGGATAAAACCAAAGTGCTTAAGTGTCATTTCCTCATATCTAGAGCTGTTATCTTTCAGATTACCATGACATTACAAAACCCCCTTGGGGGGGATTGGCCAAGTTTCTGACTGGCTGTCTGGCTTTCTCCTCCACTCTATCCTGTGACTACTACTAATTCACAGGGAGATTTTCCTGAATAGCCAGTCATTGCCTTTATGGCTCAGTTGCAAATACGGTAAAACCTTGGACTGTGAACAACTTGTTCTGCAAGTGTTCCACAAGACAAGCAAACATTTCTAATAAATTTTAACTTGACCAGAGAGCGATGTCTTGCAATACGAGTAGTACAAGATGCCGAATGTCACATGATCACAACTGAGCCAATGGTTCTTGAAATTCGCTTTCATGTATGGCTGCTTTGGTTTCCAAGCATGATTCTGGAACAAATTATGCTCACAGACCATGACTTTACTGTAATTGCTTTTGCATGTGCACAAAGTTTTTAGAAAGATACATTTTTTCCCTACTCAAAGAGAGATGGCTGGCAGCTGGTGATCTTTATTGAAAGGTAACCAAAGCACCATGATGGCAGAGGCATAAAGGGTCCTCTGGTACTTGGAGGGTTTCTGTGCTTCTCTGGGGCCACAAATGACCCTCAGGTTATGATGTGAGGAAAGGGGAGGAAAAACAAAAATAAAGAGATCATAGTTTCCAAAGAAGCAGAGAGTTTTGCCTGATCAGAGTAGAATAACCTGATAACCTGAACCTGGCTTTCCTGTCAGACAGAGCTGGAATGCAGTGCCATCTCCAGTCTGCCCTCAGGGGGTGACCTTGGGCAAGCAGAATTTGAGCCTTCAGCTTCTCATCTATGGAATAGAGTTAGAGATACTTCCCTTGTAGGATTGTTGCAGAAACAAATGAAAAAATCATATAAAATGCTTATCAAAGTCCCTGACACAGAGTGAAACTCTATAAACACTTTGTAATTTTCATTATCTATTATTCGCAGTTCTGCATGTTGCCACATTTTTTAATTTGAAAAAATGACTCCTTATTTCCTATTGTCCTTATTTCCAGGGTTTTACTATTTCTTCAGTGGATCTTCACAGTTGGAATTTGACCCAAATGCAAAGAAAGTGACACATGTTTTGAAGAGCAACAGCTGGTTGAATTGTTTAGATGTCTAGAAGCACAATGTGGGCATTTGAAGTGAAACTGAGAATTCTTCACTGGAGTTTTTTTGAATCGAGATGGTCCCCTTTCTCCTGCATGTACAAGCATAAACTGCACAGTTGACTTCACATGTGACAGGGCATTCGAGCAGGCTGCTAAGCCTGTACTTTGGTCACGTGGAGTAGCTTCCACAGGAGAAGGGAGAGCACTCGTGTGCAAGACAAGTGGCTGTATATAGACTATTTACTTGCTATTTAATAAAGAGGATTAGCCAATTACATTATTGTTCTGTTTGCTTCAAGAATAAGCCGTCCTCACAGTCTTGGGTGTGGTATGGACTAAACAGAAGAGAGCCTGAGATCCTTGGCCAGCGGTGTAAGGATTAGGGTCTCCATGGCTACAGCCTGACCATGAGCTCATCCAGAACTAAAGACAATGTACCACTTGGCCTCCCCAGGTGTCTACAATGAGGTGTCCCTATTTCCACCACCCAGATATCATGTGTTCCTAATATGTCCTAGGAGAAGGATCTAGCAAAGTGATCTTGCAGGGAAGGCTCTAGAAAAAATTATGAAGCAAGATCCTATGATTATTGCAAGTCACCTAGTTCACACACTTTATTTTTCTGGTAGAGAAAATCAAACAAACCTGTTCTTCACCTCCTCCTTTCCTAATCTATTCCCTCAGTGGAAACCCTTTGCCTGCCTTCTCAGGTCTGCTCATGTCCACCCACACATGGAAGTATCCTCTTGAACTCATTGTGCGTCTGTCTGTGCGAGAAATCCGTGGGCAAGTGCTTGTCCTGAGATAGATCTGTTGCCCCGAAGCAGCATGTCCCACACAGTAGGAGCTTACTCACACTTTAACTTCTTCATTCATTGGAGAATAATTTATCAGTCATATTCCATGTGCGCAGCATTGTTGCTGGGTTGTAGGCAGAGGAATCTGAGAACATGGACACAGCCCCTGCCCTCATTGAGATTATAATCCTGCAAGAAAAAATACATGCAGATAACCACAAACATGTACCTGCCACTGTCAATGTAATAGGATTCATCAAGGAAAACAGTTGGTGTCTTCGCTAGAGTAATAGGAGGATCTACTCGGAACGTTTGAGGGAAGGGCACTGGGGAGCTTGGGAGGGTGGTGCGGGAACCAGGTGAGGGGATCGTGGTTGGGACTGACGCAGTCACACTGTAGTCAGACATGAATACCAAAGACAGCAGGACTCCACGATGGGGCTGAAGAGAGAGGTGATTCCCAGCCAGCTTCCTAGAGCCTAAGGACAAATGTCACAGATGGTGGCAGCATTGCTGAGGTGGGGGACAACTTGGAGATGTACAGCTTTGTGAGGGAAGGGTAAGAATTGGGAAGAGTTGCTAAGGTTTGCCAAGTTTTGAAATGTCCGTGAGATACCCAGGTAGGCCATGAGATAAAGAGTCTTGTGTTGGAAAGAGGAGGTGAAGTGATTGTGGGAGGTGACGGATGTTGACCACACTCACTGTGGTCACCATTTTGTAACATGGACACGTGTGGAGTCTTCACCTCATGCACCTAAAATGAATACAATGTTATATGTCGATTGTACCTCAAATTTTTTTTAAAATAGGGGAAGCATAAATATGTGGATTGTCAGCATTTAGATCATCCCTAAAACCATGAATATGAAAGAGACCATATGGGACATTTTATTTTATAAGAAATTGAGCGTTTATTTTAAAAATCACCTGAATTTTTCCATTTCTTTTTTCTTTTCTCCTTCCTTCCTTCCTTTCCTTCCTTCCTTCCTTTCCTTCCTTCCTTCCTTCCTTCCTTCCTTCCTTCCTTCCTTCCTTCCTTCCTTCCTTTCCTTCTTTCCTTCCTTTCTTCCTTCCTTCCTTCACTTTTTTTTCCTTTTTTTTGCACAGGTACTATGTGGCCAAAACACAATTCCAAAAGGTAGAAATATTCTGACAAGTTAATTTTCCTCACAGCTGTTACCACCAGCTAGTGCGTTTTCTCAGAGGCCACCACGGAGAGCTCTTCTGACACAGCCCCTGCCTTCACCGAGATGATAGTCCAGCAAGAAAGAAGGCATGCAAATAGCCACAAGTACGCACATGCACCTTTCAGAGCTGTTTTGTAGGTACCCGAGCATCAACACCATCTCTTAAAATTAAAATGCTAGCATGCAAATTCACACTGCTCTCTGCTATTTTCACTTAATACATCTTGGCAACCACCCCACATAAGTACATGCTTCATTCTTTCATTGGCTGCTGTCTATGCCATAAACACATGATTTGTGTATTCAGTCCCCTCATGACTGAATGTCATGTCCCCCTAAATCAACACTTCAATAAATACATACACCAAAGAAATAAAATTCAAAAATACAAAATCATCAAAAATAAACAAAATATAGTTGAAATAAAGATAAATATTATATAAGAACAATTTAAGGATATATAAAATATACATTTGAAAAATGTATTTGAATATAATTTATTTGAAATAGAAATAAAAAGTACATCAAATAAAATTATGTGCATTTGTAGATTTTTTTTTCTGGTTGTGACCTATCAGTAGATTATTTTCAACATTTTACTATCATCCCTGTACATCTGCTTGTGTATCTGATGAAAAATTCAACCTTCAAAGGCTGAGCAGAGATGGAGAAGCAGGGAGACTGTTGGTTTCTCCATCGTGCAGGTTGCTGGATGCTCTTTACTATGGCAGTGATGGTGCAGTGAGGAAGCTGAGTGCTGGCAGAAGGGGTACAAATAGTGGTAAGTTGAGATGCTTTTGGTTACAGGTAACAACAACTGCCAACTGGCTTGAAAATAACAGTTTATCAGAAAGACAAAAGGAAAGCATTGGTGAGGATGTGAAGAAAGGGGATCCCTAGTGCACAGATGGTGGGGGTGCAAATTGGTACAGTTGCTGTAGGAAATAGTGTGGAGGTTCCTGAGAAGTTAAAAATAGAACTACCCTATGATCTCTACTACCCTATCCCTCTTTAATCCAGTAAGTCCACTTCTGGGTGTATGTCCTAAGGAATGAAATCAGTATCTCAAAGAGATATCTGCTCTCCCACATTCATTGCAGCCTGACTCACAATAGCCAACACATAGAAACAGCCTACATGTCCTCTGATGGATGACTGGATAAAGAAAACGTCATATGTATACACAATGAAATGGGTTTTTTTTTTAGTTTTTATTTTGTTTTAGAGAGAGAGCATGAGTGGGAGACAGGGGCAGAAGGAAAGGAAAAAAGAGCAGGCTCAGCGTGTAGCCTGACACGAGGCTCAATCTCACAACCCAGGGATCATGACCTGAGCCGAAATCAGAGTCAAAATGCAAAAATCAACTGACTGAGTTTATGTCCAACTGACTAAACCACCCAGGTACCCCCATACTGGAATATTATTAAGCCTTAAAAAATGACATGGATGAAACTCAAGGGCATTATACTAAGTGAAATAAGCCAGACAGAAAAATTCAAATACTGCAAGGGCACCTGGGTGGCTCAGTCAGTTAAGTGTCTGACTTCGGCTCAGGTCATGATCTCACCGTTCTTGAGTTTGAGCCCTGCATTAGTATTTGTGCTGACAGCTCAGAGCTTGGAGTGTGTTTCAGATTCTGTGTCTCCCTCTCTGTCCCCCCCTTGCTCATTCTATGTCTCTCTCTGTCTCCCAAAAATAAATAAACGTTACAATAAGATTTTTTAAAGAAAAACACAAATACTACATAATCTTACTTAAATGCAAAATTGAAAACAAATGTCAAACTCATAAAAGCAGAGAGGAGAATGGTGGTTGCCAGGGTCTAAGGGGGTGGAGGAAATAGGGAGATTTTGGTGACAGGATAGAAAACTTCCTATCATGTTCCTATCATATCATAACAGGTTCCTTACGTAAACCTGTTATGTAAGGTGAACACGTTCTGGAGAGATGATGTACCACATGGCGAGCACCGTTACTAACTCTGTATTGTATACTTGAAATTTGCTGAAGGTAGATCTTAACTGTTCTCACCGCGCAAACCCACAATAAACGGTGACTATGTGAGGTGGTTGGATGTGTTAATTAACTTGACTGTAGTAATCATTTCACAATGTGTACAATTATCATAACACTGTGCAGTATACCTGAAATATACATAATTTTTATTTGTCTATCATACCTCAATCAAGCTGGAAAAATTTTAAGAAGTAAAACAAAAATAAAAAATAAAGGAGCTTAAGGATTCACATTATTTAAAAGCACAGCAGCCATGCAGATTGTAGCTTCACTGTGATCGTGGGTCCGGCTCCCTCCCTGCACGCTGGTCCTGCCCTGGCCTGTAGATGAGCTGTACCTGCAGGCTGACACTCCTCATGGGGGCATGACACCTGTGGTAGCTCTGGGCAGCAGACCTCCATCAAGCACATGCTGACCACAAACCACACTGCTGAGCCATTCCTGCTTGGATCTTTTGTAATCATGGGGTCATCCTGGAAGGGTCACTGTGGAGACAAGGAACCATCTCACCCAGCCACGGTGCTGCAGCAGTGGGGTAGGGGGAGACCCTGAGGCAGAAATTTCTGTCCATCCACCACAGAGAGCCTTGCACAGGTGAGAGAGAGGAAGCGCTAGGTACAGATAATGCTTAGAAGTTGGTGTGGGAGGGAAGGAAGCAATACACACAATCCCCATCCTGGCAGACCCGATTCACAGCCCTTCTGCATGTCTTTGCTGGTCTGAGGAACCAGAACCAAGCAACTGTTCATCTGCCGAATGCTGGATTTGCCAGGCCTGCCCAGGGCTTGATATGAAGTGTCCATTTAGTCCTTGTAAGGGCCGTTGGGTTGGTGATGTTTCCATCGTGCAGAAATGTAAGTTGAGAGTGAGTGGCTCAGGGACTCTGTCATGGTCACGTAGTTAGTAGTAGAATCAGGATTTCCTGGCCCAAAGATCACATTATTCTTTTGTCTAGAGTAACTGACAGTTAACCAGACCAGATGGCCATATCTCATTTAGTTTAGGCTCTGTTCTGAACGAGCTGTTGTGCTACATCATACCGCATGACCACAGAGGAAGCTGACTCTTTCTCATTCCTTCAGTTTAACCTCCTCCCTGCCCAAAGGCCAAGGTTCTTGCATCTACATCTGACATCTGGCCTCTCTAAATCTCCCTATGCTATCTGAAATTAAAACGGACAACGGGGGACCTCACTCCTGCTACTGCTCCCCTCTGTAA